GCGGTAGGCACTTATCACGTAACGTTGAGCGAGTCACGGAGCCTCGGGCTTTTAATAGACCCTCTCGTTAGTAATATCTCATTTACCGTCCTTAATAAACAATGTACTATTGATGACTAACCGTTTGGGGTTAAATGACGTAAGATATTCAAGTCACGTTACATTAAGCTCAAAGCAATTTTTTGTACCTTTTTTAAGCTTCATACCTTATATTGTACTAATGCAATTTCCCGTTTTTATACGCTGTTTGTATTTCATATTGTGTTACAATTAAGTTAGTCCTATTTTGGTTTTTTCATTTGTTGTTTTTAAACCCCAACCAACCATCGCTGTAGGTACAGAAAGGGCCGTGACTCGATGGGCGGCTTCACTGCCGGAGGAAATGTCCTTTCATAAAATTAAAGGGTTGGACCAAAACTGCTTATTTGCGAGAGAGGCATAAACCTACGCTTTAAGAGAAAAATATTAATTAATATGAGCCGTACACTGTGATACTACGTAAACATAATTCCGATTATTTTAAACAAAAGAAAATATGAACATTTTAACAACTAAATAGGGCGGTTTTTAAGGGAAGAACACCAGGCTTCTAAAGTACACTGTAAAATTGATTGTTGACAGTTGGTTCAGCTGTAACAAGCACAGTCCAGTCGTGTATGGAGTAGCTTTAAATCACAAAGATCTGAGGAACACTGCCAATGCCAAAAAAATATTTCATTAAGAAAGAAAACATCCGTAATATTAACGTTCGAGCTAAGTCCAAACTCATGGTACCATGATTTCGCTTAACTAAGGTAAACGACTCTTTTATGGGTAACTGAAGACGTTTTTACAATAACATTGCGTAGCATATATTAAGATTATCATTTCCTAAGTTTAAAAACTACATTAAAAATATTTTAATTGTAAAGTCATATTAAAAAATTGAATAATTAGATAAAGATATTTGGACAAACGACACCGTTCTAGGTTTCACAGAAATTTGATTTCAAAGTATATTCCATAGCATTTTATTTATTTGAAAAGAGCAATCCCTAGAGTTTATTGTTCGTTCTTCTCAGTGAAGTCAACGTAGTGAACGAACAGTAGCTTAAATGTGACGTTTTCAAGAGTTTTATTTTACCTACGGAATAAATGATTGACCTTCTAATGCGTCCGTCACTCTGAGGTATAAGTTGACAAGTCCCATGTGTGTGTAATTTCACCGGGTCGGCAGGATCCCTCGGCATCTCTACATGCAAGCTCATACTGACGACATCCTTGAGCATACAGTAGCACCCTTAGGCATGCCGTAGCATTCTCTCTCCACAGATCTCTGCCTCCCCTCACTCCGCATACCCGCACAGTCGTACTCAGCGTCCCGAAGCTTGCTGAAGCATCCCCAAGGCATTCCGAAGGCGGCCGGCTTGGTATTCCTAAGCATGTCGTAGATTCGTTATTGTAGCTCCGACGGTTATTATTGAAATTTTAACTATAATGCCATAACCTTAACATATATTACCATTCGTCACCTAAAAATTCTCTGACGAGCCTGTCAGAGAGCGCCGCGCCGGGGCTTACCGAGGTAAAGTGGCTGTACTTCCCAGGACAAATTCTTTCACAGGGAGTCCTACTGCTACTACTAACACATTCATAAATGCACGATTTGAAAAAATAAAATTCAAACGCTTAATATAAGTTAATTACCTACGTCCATTCTATCATCAAACAAAGCAAAACGACACACCCGCATTCTACGGTACCTACATCATATTTCTTTTTGTTTTGCATCCTGAAATGGAGGCAAATGAAATAGTAAAAAACATAATTAAGTTAAATTTAATTTAAATATATTTATTTTTAATGAAATTAAGGCGTTTATTATAATTAAATCGAGCACGTTTATCGTCCTACCGTGTCTGATAAAATTGCCTTTTCATATATTATTATTTTTATTAATAAAGAATATATAATTTAAGTGAAAAGATATACTTGTAAAAATTAAATTTCAAAAAAAATAGTAAATAATAGACAGTTAAAGAGTCGATGATCACCTAAAGCTGACAACTTCACCTGCACCCGTAACATCCTGCAGTTACGAGTTTCTGTTGGTATAGCCCTTTCTACAACTAATTTCCTTGACCACTGACTGGCAGCCTTGGCGGTATAAGGCCCTATGTTCTGCGATCTCCAGCCAACACGTCCGGTATGGATATTATGCCACAAAGCAAAATGGCGCACATTGGGCAAGAGATCTTCTTATAGTATCGATGGCATACACTATAATGCTCGTAATCATGGTGTAAGGATTTACAAATTGGGTTAAGGCACATGCTGACTGTTACCCAAGGCGGGCCAAACGTACAAAAAACTAATGGTATGTCGTGCGGGAAGGCTCCTTTCGTGCACCCCAGAGACGTGATAGAATTGTCCTTTTGAATTACCCATTTAAAATTGCGTAACCTTTTCCAACACTCTAATAATAATGTGTCAAACAATCACAGCAAATAGTTGGTCGCAAACTAGGGAATAAAAATAACTCCGGGCACAACGAAGACCGCAACCAATTTAGAAATGTTTGTTGACCAAACCCGAGACCTTTTCATTTAGCGCCTAAAATGCCAATAGGTTGGACCTAAAACGTCGTCAGTCGGTTTGTAATTGTGGTTCTAAATGTTTGTAGAAATATTCAGCAATTGCAAAGTAATGTTTGACTGCATAATGAACCAAATTTTGTATTATCATTTTGATACACTCGCTCGCACGAATGAGAATTTGTGGAAGCTACTTTTTTTATAAAATGGATGTCAAACACCTCACTTGTTGAAGAATAACAATGAGACTGACGATGGACCATGCACACGTAATTAATGCCTACTCACTTTCGCCTTGAAAAATGATAAAAAAATTCCAGTTGTTGCCAGTGGTGATTTCTACTGGCGACAAATGGGGAAAAAAATCCTATATGCTACCAAGTGTCCCATTTGTCGCCACTGGAAATCGCTACTGGTAACAACTGAGACTTTTGTATCCCGTTTGTCGCCACCTGGTAACACATGGTTTTTTTTTCCCCATCTGTCGCCAGTGGGAACAAAGCCAGCGGTGACAACTGGGAATAAGCGTCAAGTTGTACCGTTCAGGAAACAAGTCGCCACAAAACAGTAACGTGAGCATTACTGCATTCCGGTTTTAAGGGTGCTGGTGAAATTACCGGCACATGACACTTGTTAACTTTTGTCTCAGGATTTCGGGCGCATTGGCAGTGCCCCTCAAATCTTTGCGATATAAAATTCTGAGCGGTAATGCAACTGTAATGGACAGGCGTGTCGCTTACCATCAGGAGAACGATTTGTTCGACCCGTCACTTGATATCATAAAACAAATTCATGGTACTGTAAATGAATCCTTATAATAAAAGCAGATTCGTCCACATCTGACGTCATTCAGAAGGAGCTTCCACTTCGCCGCCTCTAAATATTGGAATGACCTTCCACCACCGGTGATGACGGCGGAGTCTTTTTATACTTTCAAACGAAAGTGCAAGAAATGGCTTACTTTGCAACAGAAGCCGTCATGTTCCTGGTCGGTTGTGGAATAGTAATCCGTACAGTCTGATAACAGTCATATGTACCCTTTGTCGTCCTGATTAGATTTGTTTGTTTTTTCTTGATGGATGTATTATTATCACTGGGTGTGTATTGGAAGATATCACAACAAATAATCTATTTTCATTTTGGATGATAATATTTGGTACAATTATTAATACAAAGATCGAACACTCAGAAAAAATTCCTTCCATCCGGCCGGATTCGAACCGACGTCTTCTAGCTTACCGTGCCAGACGCTATACCAACTAAACCACGGAACGAACCAGCGGAACTCACGAATTTTTCTGTGCTTGCGTCGTGTCTTTGTATTTGGTTTTTCGACGACTTTTTAGTCGTAGCACCATCTATGAGAAATCTATGAAAGATTTATCACCCAGTTAGTACCTTTGCAGCTACCAGTCCTGGCGAGACATGTCGCTATTCATTGTATTTTAAATTTTTATTGAATTGATATTCAATTATTTTTTGTGAAATTTCTCCACTAGTTTGTTATAATTATTAATACAAAGATCGATCACTCAGAAAAAATTTATTGGACTGGTACCCATAGTAAGTCGAACCAACTAGGAAATGTTATATCTGAAGTGTTTATGTAAAATGACCATTATACCATCGGTATATTAGACTGAAAGTTGTTATATCAAACGTCTATTATATACCCAGTGACCTGTGTATCATGCAAGAATGTGTCAAACGTCAGGATACTGTAAATTAATTATATTAATTGAGCGTTACATCGAGTAAAAACATGTAATTTTTTAGGAAATGAAACTATTTTTCCGGATTTAAATCGCGTATATTTGTTTTTTCAAACAAACCGACGTTTTTTGAAAAAACAAATATACGCGATTTAAATCCGGAAAAATAGTTTCATTTCCTATGTGTAACAATCGCGAAAACCTAAGAACTCGATATGTAATTTTTTGTTATATATTACGAACCGCACCCATTATCAGTCGTAACCAGTAAATAAATAGTTGGATTTAAGGTAGATTAACGATGTTTGTTTTGTTGTAGTCCTTTTGTTCAAAATTATGTTCCGACAACTGAAAAACAGCTCTATGCTGGAGGCTACGTCCTTTTCATCACTCATAGCTCATAATCTTTTAGTACATAATATAGTGTGATTGTATGTATAAGTGTCCGTGTGTTTGATGAATAAAATCCAATTTAATTTTATGTAATAAACACAACAACATCCCATATGTAAGTAAGTAACTATGTACCGGAAAACATGCGCTTTTTCGGGAACCACGGTGCTGAATTTCAATTATATGTATTAAAAATATCACGTTGCTAGAGGAAATTAAAAGTATTTTTACGATTCCTTTATCGAATATGTAATTACGCTTATTTCCAGTAATAAATTATTTTATAGTATATTAACCGTGCATTTGTGAGAAATACTAACACATAGTTTTTATATTTTGTAGGACAAACATGTATTTAAGTGTAACGTTATGTGCTATAGTAATTTATTTACCTAGTAAAGTAAAATCAGGTATGTATTTCGATTGTATATAGTTTAGTTGTTTTAACGGTCTTGGTGGACCAGCTGGGTGAGGAGAGTTCCATTTCCGTTAAGATCAATTTGTGAAACGAAATTGTCAAATTAGTAGATACTCTGGGTAGCCTCGAAGTTAGTTTTGTTGCGCTGATATTTATAGTCCATACAACCATTTATTTTACTTTTGACAGCTCGATTACTGATCAATTAGTGATGTCTTATATAACGATGGTTTCTAAAGTAAAAAAAGTTTTAATCGATTTAACAAATTCGAAATTAAATTATGTGATCTCAGCCGAATGGTAAACCATTAGAATTCATTATAATTATTTCAAATTTACTTGTTTTCATTATAATGTACCAAAATATATACAACGGAGAAATCAACTTGAATAATCTTCGTTACATAAACTGTCGGCTTGATAAATAGCGGAATCTGAGCTAAAAGAGCTCGTGTCGCTTCACTATAAAGAAAGAGTCCATGAAGTACTGATTTTTTTATCTATGGTTGCTTGTCAATAATTATAGAACACGCTTTTTGTTGAAGACAAACTTACTGTAAACTTCTTGCTCGAATATGTTATTAAAGTAATATACTATCTGTAAGAGTAACTTAACTAATTAAAATGCTAACTACAAACATTATTGCGTTTACCACATTTTACACCACATTTTTATCTTCGTCGACGTTAAAACGACGTTATGTCAAAAGTATAATAAATGGTAGGACGGAGTATAATAACACGGAATGTTCTAGTGTAAGATCAGGTAATTAGTGTGGTTATCTGGAACATGATACTTTCCTCGGGATAATTCGTGATGGTATTATTTATGTTAAGAAAAATATTTATTGTTTTATGAAAAATAGTGACAGATATAACATTAACACGAGGAATAAAAATTAACATGTTATTCTTGACAGTCGTCTTCTAAAGACACAAATTCATTTAATATATGCTTCTATAATAAGATTCCAATTGATATTCAAAATTTGCCATTTACAAGGTTTAATACTATTGTGAAACAAACTTTAGACTAAAAGTTATTACACAACTTCTGCGTGCTTGGATGACAAAAATCCGTGGTAGTGACCCGAACAGCTCCTGCAGGTAGTTTCGATCTAAGATGTTTAAATTAAATATTGTAATCCCATGCATATTAAAATTACAGGCGCATAGGTCTTTTCAATTTATGTCTCAGGGTGATGGACGCAGAAGCAGTGCAATTCAGATCTTTGCGAGTTAAAGCTCTGCGTGGCACTGGAACTGTTATGGACAGGCGTGTCGTTTATCATCAGGCGCACGACTTGTTCGTCCCATCACAGTATAATAAAAAAAGCCCCTTCAAATTTAAATGGTTGGCGGCAGAAATAGGTAAGATGGCAGTACTTTCCTGAACGAACTCTTTCACAAGGATCTCTACTTTCAGAAACCGTTCTCCATTCAGAAGAGTTAAATTAAGAACCAACGCGTACATGTTTTTTTTTTATTTCAGTACCTCCAGACATATGTTTTCAAAAATTCAGATCGGATGACTGCGGACAAGCTCCACAACCAGTTATGTACTACTGGAAACCAGGATCGCGATGCGAAGTTGGTTTCTGGCGAGGCTGTGTTCCTAATGTAAACATGTTCAAAGATGAACATGAATGCGTATCTACATGTATCTTCGCACGAAGAGCAAGGCCTATTGACTACCATTCATATAATGCACTAGAGTATGAAGAAAGTGATGATGAAAGTATCACTACGGTAAGTGTGAATGTTAAGTTACAGATCAATGAATGCTAGCTACAGCATTTTTTGCTGTAGCTAGCATAAGGCTTAAGTTCACTAAATGAATCCTAATGTGCCTGCAGACTAAAAGTAATTCCAATGGAACTACCCATGGAGATTTAACAACAGAAGACCAGAGCAACTCTACTCATAACAGCGATAGCACCCACGACCATACTGACAAAACCGGAGGAAGCCACCCTGCTCCAACTGGTGGTGGAAATGATACGACTAGTGCAGGTTAAACAAAGTATGGTTAATAAAATCGTGAAAATTCATTATCTTTTTTATACTATAGATACCAAAACTAACACTATGTTTTTAATATACGAACAATGCTCTTAAAAACCATAGTTGTTGATAGATTTAAGAGTAATTAACAAACGAATTGACATTTTTCTTTGTTTTATATTTTTGAAAGTATTTGATGATAGAAAGATACATTTCAATATCATTAAGCAAAGGCATTGTAAAAATTTAGAACTTTATTAAAAAAATTATTCACATGACCCTACAAATTCGTCAAATTTAAATCTTAAAATTTATGATACCACATTATCGCCGTCGTAAACGTATCGTAGCCATTACACTAACGTGTGATTAAGCTCAAACTTTTATACCAGTCATAAAACGCATCTATTTCGATGTAGCGAGTAGAGTCATGAGAAGCGTAAATGGTGCCATCGTAGGAAATGCATGTATTGGTTTGTTAGCAAAAATTCATTTCCAAAACAAAAGAAGACCAAAAACAAACAACATTTACAAGAAAAATCTTCAGTAGTCGTGTCCAAAACGTTCAGTAGAAGTGGGGACTCTCTGTGAAAGAGTTCATCCGTGAAAGTATTGTCAATGTATCGATTTCAGCCGCCAAGCAGTTATGTGATGCGTGTTAATGTGTTCCGGTTTCGAAGGGTTCTGATAAAATTACAATCATGTGGGGTCTTGTTAACTTATGTCTCAGGGTGACGGGCGCAATGACATTGACAGTGCCCCTCAGTCCTTGGCAATTTAAAGAGTTGAGTGGCACTGCAACTGTTACGGGTAGGCGTGTCGTTCAAGCACACGATTTAATCCTCTCGTTACTTAACATCATATTAAAATAACAGAATAAGTGAAGTCATTACGTGAAGAAGAGGTTACTATAAGAAAATTTCCCGACCGCCAAAAGACTTAATAAGATTTTCTGAAGTGTCTGTGAAACAATCTTTTTATCGCATCAGGACCATATTGATTTTGAATAGAGTCGATATCATGATTGCCTTATCTGTCGCCGCGTTGAGGGCTTCCCTCGTCATTTACACACGAGATGTGGTTTAGACACGGTGCCACAAGAGTGGCTAAACTTTTCTACATTTTAACTTTATGGTTCACTCATCTGATAAAACAGCGTTACTTTCAGGAACCTATTATGTATAGTCAACACTTCTCATACGACTCGCCACTCTGTACGCAACAGTATGTTTTATTCAGAGACTAAACTTTCTATCTTTATTCTCTCTATAAACGCCCGCCGTTCAGTATCTTTTATTCGTATCCTATTTTAAACAGTATATTCGACTGTGGTGCTACCCCTCATACATACACGGCTCTATAGTATATATTCTTCTGATATCTCAGAAAGGCACACTTCTATTGAGATCTTATATGTATACTGTTAGCTATTGTTACAAGACATTCGCGATGTGATGTTTTGGATTCTGTAACAATTTCGTAGATCAGATTAGAACCAACAGTTATTTACCAAGTTTCTGGCGCTTACAATGTTAACCGCTGAATTAGTGAAGTCGTCAAATAGCAACTATGACCCACGCGAAAAGTGTCAATATTGACCAAGATAATCACTTATGACCTAACAAACATTTTACACGTACTTGAAATCTCATTCCAGAGCAATAAAGATCAAATTGCTCCTATCATATGACTCGTAAATGTCAAGAAAGAAGTATGACAAATTTAATAAATTCTCCAACATTTTATTGCTCACGTAAACTTTGCGTTTTTAAACAGGATTCATTTCTATATTTTGTTGGGTGTCACATGTTGATCATCAGATGCGATTAGACATTTCTTCTTCAACCGTTAGTCAACCATTGATGAGTGAAGGCTTCTGTGCGTACCATATCGTTTTGTTTACACACGTGTCTAATTTATCTCCATTTCTTGTCATCGGCTATATTTATCATGTGTAATGTATTTCAAATTAATCTTATTCCGAAAAAATGTGTCTTAGAGCAATGTGTCGATTGATGTTATTTATAGTAAGCTTTATATTATGTTTTGTACCAGTACTTACTGAACTTAGCCGTTTATAATATTTCTCTCTCTTTGAGTCTTGTTGCCTGATTATTACATTTGCTGCCACGGCCTTGAGTGGACTATAAGAGATCTTAGATCTTTTGTTTTTGTTTGGTGCAATAAAGAATACATGTATGTGTTGAACCGAAATCATTCATATATAGAGCAACATAAGGTATGTTTTGAAATCTACCAACTTTAATAAGAACTAGGTCAAATCCAAAGCACTTTTAGATAAAGCCTTCATAACATAAATATCCGATATAAATGACGAAGCAATCTTATCAGAGCCTGAATTTAATTAAATCGTAGTTTAGTAGCGCGCTTTGTTTCGCGAACTTGCCCATTCGCTGCGTTTCCTTCGAAGTTTTGAAGCAGCAAGTTATGAAAGAGTTGTTTCACGCAGCACAAGTACCCTTGAAAACCTCGGAATTACATGAAAAATCAGGTGGGTACTACCGTTATGAACCCGTGATCTTCTCTAAACAAAAGCTACGGCGTAGTGCACTTTCCTAACTCAATAACTCGAGTCCACCATGGACACGACACTATGTTTTTGTTGGATATAACATGGCGTATATTTGTTCTCTCAGACAAGAAGAACTCTAGTCCTCAAGTTTTCTCATGGCGTTTTTCTCAACCGACATTTATGTTGTATAACAAACCAAGTCTCTCTTACCAACAGTGCTGACGATATTCAAGGTTGTCAGCAACCGTTGCGCAAAAGGTGATCCGTCATTCTGATAAACTTAATCAACAAATGTTGTATTCGAAGACTTATCAATTAGCATATCAGTAACCTTAAATATGAAACGCTGCGGCATGCTACTTGAACCACGCAGTGAGGAACTTTCAAATTTCATTGTTGTTCAAGTTCTGCCGGCTTATTGGTATTCCACAGTAGAGATATAGATGTCTAATTAACATTTTGCAAATTCATAAAGGCAGATCTTTCAAGGAGTCTCAAAGAATAATAAATATAAATAAAGATCGACCGGAATTTAAAATCTACTAAAAAAAGGACATAAAAAACCTTCTGACTGATTCTGTCCTAACGAGCTTTCGACAAATTTGAGAACAAATTATTTTCCGTTCAGCAATTCACTATTCATTCAATCTGTGACACATATTCACTTACAAAACAGGTACACATAATACGACTGCCGTCAGACTGTACACCTCATGCTGTTACGTCATAAATGATAGATACGGTAATAAGCAAGGAGAATATGTTACTCTTCCAACGTAGATGAAGTGCAGAACTAGAAAAACAATTAAGTACTAAAATACGAATTTGAATTTGTGATCTTTCTATTAATACCTACATTTATTATTATATTCCTTTTTATTTTTTTCATGGTCACCCTTTTTAGATTAAGAAAAACATGCCGAGAAATATTTGCGGAGAAGATTTACAAGTTCCTTTTACAATATAATCTCTTTTTCACATTTGCTCATGGAAATTCAAAGAGAAAAGACACGTGGATGTAATAAAATGCTGACAAATAGCTATTATTTATGTATACCGTGTAACTTGCTTCTTTGATACACGAGTTATAGCGCCATTATCAATATTTACGGCGCAATGGTTATCTTTTGTCATGTTCTTGCTTTTAACTCGTATTCCAGCCTAGTTGCATAGAACTATCAAGTATTTAGTGAACCATAGCCAGCCCTCTTCCATGATTCTCCTCAATACCTATTTCTGCTACTTTCCGGTTTAGTAAAAGTGTGTGTGAAACTACAGGTACATGTCTGTGTGACGGATGCATGGGCAGTGTTGCAACTGCAATTCAAATTCAAAATAATCTTTATTTCATAGGTAAACATTATTACACTTGTAATCGTCACAATGGTTAAACTCTACCGCTCATTCGTAAGGCAGATTCCCCTGAGAAGAATGAGCAAGAAACTCTAGGGGTTGTTCTTTGTAAATAACATTTGTACACATTCAACATTTACAATATTTTTTTTCTTTTGAAACATCAGAGATCGAGACTACCTCCATGAGCTAAACGGGTTACTACCACGGATTTCTGTCATCCAAGTACGCTGAAACGAAAACGCAAGTTTTTTCACATCAATCGAAAAGGCACCAAAAACACTCGTGTAGACACAATTTAAGTAACTTAAGTAAATTTAAGTGAAGTACTGCCACCTTACAAGCAGTAATATTTACTGCGGTCCGGTTTGGAAGAGTAAAGGTGCTGATGAAATTACAGGGACATGGGACTTGTCAGCTTGTGTCTCAGGGTGACGGGCGCAGTGGCAGTGCTCCTTAGATCTTTGCGATTTAAAGCTCTGAGTGGCACTGCAACTGCCATGGATAGGCGTAAAAAAAAGGGTTACCGTGCTTAATAGCATGAAAGAGGAATCTATAAAATGAGGTGTTTGGTAGTGATATTGGTACCAGACAATTCAATTGATCTTTTGTGTGCGGTACCGTAACTCCAAAAGCATGGAAATAATTTGATCAAAGTAAACTTGTTTCGATGTTCCTTACTTGGTTTCTGTGTTCACAAAGGAAGCCCCTGCCTTGTCGGTTTCGTCCACGAGGAAAGCGAGCAAGCGAAATCGTGGCGATTTAAAAGCGCTTGAAAAGCACAAGAATCGAAGTGTTATTTGCCCCGAAAGCCCAGAAACAAAAAAAAAATCTAAATCAAATTGTCTTAACTTGACATGCAATACAAGCCGTTTTATCTTACTGGTATGACTTATCGCCTCAAGCAGAGGCCGTGGGTTCGAATTCAAGCTCGCACATTTGAGTTTCTCGGAATTTAACAAAAGAAAACATCCAAGAAGGTTCAAACCCTCGGAAAACATGTGAAGTCCCCAACCAGCATTGGGTTAGCGTAGCGAACTATGACCTAAACCCTGTCCTGAGAGGAAACCCGTGTCCAGAGACGTATAAATGGGATGATGATGATGACGTGCTTGACTCAGGTACTGCGCGTTGCCTTGTTAT